GGGGGGGAGGGGGTACTGTTAAGGGTGTAAACGAACCGAATCGAAGCGAATAACAAAATATTTGAATTTGTATTTGTTTAATTTTTTCGAACACGAATCCGAATCCAAATATGATACGAATTCAAAATAAGATTTGAATATGTATTTGATTAATATTCGAATAGTTTACGAATACTAAACGAATATTTGAATAATCATACTCTGTAATTTATATGATGGACCAACATCGATTTGTAATTTAACTTACGATACTCCTTATACTATATTATACTCTGTATCTAAAAACATTAACACATTTGCATCTTACAAAAATTATATTTTATAAAATATAACTATGAAAAATCATATGCTTTAGATTTTTGTATGAAGTTAATATGTCGAATTCTTAGTAATTTAAACGTACTTTATACTATATTAGTTTGCTTGAATATTGATGTTGAAAATATGGTTTGTGTGTATATACCTATATTCGAATATTCGAACATCATTCGAATCAAATATATTCCTATTTGTATTTGTATTTTTTTAATATTCGAATCAAAAATAATATTTGAATTTGAATTTGTATTTGAATAATGCGAATTCGAATCATAATATTCGAATACTAATCACGAATCGAATTTAAAATATTTGATTTTTTACATCCTAGGTACAGTAATACCCCGTATTAAGATGGGAATGAGAAGAGCTCAAAAGGATTGATAGTACTACTCATACCAACAAGGTGCATCTTTTTTTCGAAAGCTCATCACCTAGAAAATCTAGAGTTAAGCGTGCTTGACCTAGAGCAATTTTAGGATGGGTGACCCCTGCGAAATTCCTTGGGCGTGCACGAGTGAGGATAACGTACGCGGGAAAGACTTGTGTTGATTTGTGGGGCCAGTCTAGAATCCTATGAGCGGATACTTACGGCCAGGGTGGGGGCCGAGGTGTTAGAAATGGTATCAGAGCAACCCTGCGACCGTGACATGCCAAAAAGAGCTTATTTCACCTAGCGGGGACGATCTAAGGGTTTAAAAAAAGGATGCAACGAGGACGTTGCATTCCTAAGTGGAGGTGAATGTAATACCCCGTATTAAGATGGGAATGAGAAGAGCTCAAAATGATTGATGGCAATACTCATACCAACTAGGTGCATCTTCTTTTCGAGAGCTCATCACCTAGAAACTCCAAAGTTAAGCATGTTTGACTTGGAGCAATTTTAGGATGGGTGACCGCTTAGGAAATTCCTTGGGCGCGCATGAGTGAGGACAAAGTGAGCGGGAAAGACTTGTGTTGGTTTGTGGGGCCAGTCTACAATCCTAGGAGCGGATACTTACGGCCAGGGTGGGAGCCGGGGTTTTACTGGTACTAGTTCCTTTGTGTCA